TCCTCGCTGGACTCACAGTCCACAGACAGCAGGTCTCCCTTCATGGAGTTCAGCTGCATCTCCTAAGACACATTCAAAAAGGAGGAATTCATTTAACATCTTCAATGTGACTAATACAGATGTCTCTTTGACTGGAGACATCTTTGGGGCGGAGTGTGAACATTATTTACCGGGTCCCTTTGTGCTTCCTGGTTCTGATCGCCATTGGAGGATCCATCTCCATTCCTTCCGCTGTAGTCCAGGTCCTTGGTGGTGCTTTTGCCACCGTTGTGCCAAACACGCATCTGTTTCTCCCTAGGCTTCTGAGGCTTTGGGGATTTACTGTGAGCAGGATGACAGAATACTAAAATTAGCTCATTAAAAAAGAAGCAATAAGATTCATTTTTAACTAGGTGACTGACATCATCTCCTAGCTATTGAACAATGTTTCTGGCTCTATGGAAGGCAAGCAAACCAATAACAAGGTAGGTAACAAGCATTTGCTTTCTCCTGACACAATCATAACTATTAAAGTTAAGGGGTGTCCCTTTTAATAATACACTTCGGGATCAATACTTTTCATATCGCTGAAATGGAACTGACACAGACTTAATAAACTGCTGTTGGCAAGTCTGCAAAGCACATTAAATGATACTCAGGGTGTATGCAGGAATCCTGAAGTCAAATTTAAGACCTTTTTTAAGACCCTTTCCACACATTTTAAGACCTCATTGCCACTTTGAGTTTTAACCGGTTACCTTGGCGACACACTTTACCTCACATTGACTATATACAGTATTGATTGTCCTTCCTCCTTATCTCCCAACCATTTGGACGCAAACTTGCCTTTCCCCATAACGATGTTGTTTAGCAACCGGCGTAAACGGACCTTCGCGCGCTATCAAGCAGTGAGCGTGCGATGTCCTGTTCAGATGACGTCAAACCCAACGGGATGCCATAAATAAACTACACAGAATCACACTACACACCTACGCCATGATTACATTCAGGCAGACTGTAGAACACAACCTCTTTGGACAATTCATATACTTATTGAAAACAAGCTACAGAATGTAAAACCTTGGAAAATGCCGTTTAATACTTGTTTTAATAGCCTTCATTTTGGCTAAATTGATTTATCAACTTGTAATACTTTTTAAGACCCCGCGGACACCCTGGATACTATATCTTGCTTGATATTTATGAATGTATTTTCTCTTACATGGGTTTTTCAGTAGGGACGGCTGTGCGCTTGCGAAATAACTTCTCCCTGTTCTGCATGATCTCCTCGGAAGTCAAGCCCTGATCACCGTTTTCAACCGTCTTCTGCCCAGCCTTAGCTGGATCCACTTTGACAGGCTCAGCTGCAGGAGCTGGAAAAGATTGGTATAACAAAAGAAGTCAGCGGTGAGATTTCATTCATGTCAATTTTTGTTCGGACAACAAAGCCTTCTGAAATCACTTACCCTCCTTTTTGGCATTTTTATTCTTCTTGCCACCCTGTTCCTTGACTTTTTCCCCACCTTTGGTCTCGATCATTGACTTCACAGTTTTTTGGGATTTCTCGGACTGAACAAAGGTCCGCATGTTGCCCTGGCTCCGAGCTTTGCTGCTCTTCTCCGCATCCCTGGTTGTAAAAATGTGATGCATATCAGAATGTGCAAGACAAAGCCATGACTGGCTAATGAAGCATCTTCACCATATTTAAATGTACACTTTTGTTTGCCACAGCAGACACATATATATGTACTATAAATTGCAAAAATGTATGTCTTTACCTAAGAAGCATTAAGAAGTCATCTTCAAATTCAAAGTTGTTTTGGATTAGCTTCAAGGGCCCCTTTTGCTCCAGCTCATTCTTATAACGATCCCTAAAATGGAGCTGAACGTCATCTATGAACTTGTCCACATACGTCAGCGTCAGGATCTTTTGAAAACCCACCTGGACAGAGACAAGGGAAAGAGAAGAGTGATCTCATGTATGTAGAACTAAAAACAACATGAACATATGTTGCAGATTTGAACACCTACATTGTGTTTTAATGTCATTTATGTAGTGTAGAGGTGAGAGGCTTACCACAAAAATCAACTCAAACTCATTGTCGAGTTTGTATTTCAGATTCAGGGCCTCATGGGTGTATGAATTGTTCCCACTGCGCTCCTGTAACATAACAAACATCGTTGACATGTCAACAGCAGCTACACACACAAACATCTCGTTTCTACTATAGCTAGCCTGCTGCGTCTCCATAACAACGCTAAATAAGTCTCTAGCACTGCATTTGTCAACATTCAACTTACGATTCTTTGTTACATGGTGATTATGATATGGTGACCAGGTGCCAACAAGCCACATGTGCACAGAGGTCATTTAGATTTCAATAACATATGTTGCAGATTAGAAACGTATAGTACGGGTCCCTAGCACATCGAATCTGCCGGATGCTAACTTGCATTATGTTGGTCAATAAGCATAAATTGCGTTATTTAGCATTATAGCCTATGTTGACAATAGTTATGAAATGGTTTGGCCGATTTGGACAATTTTGGAGTGTTAATGTTGTTATTTAGGATGCTGGATCCATTTCTGAAATGTTCAGGATCGACAATGGCAGTTTTACAACAACATTTCCTGGGTCACAGCTGGCAACCAGAGTAAAAACCGAGTTGTATACGGGCGACTATCGTTCCTATCAAATAAGGGATATGGTCTCAATTTGAAGGATGGGGGACAAATGATAAAAATGCAGTTCAGTCCCACACAAAGCAGGACACCTGGTCACCAACATATGGTATGTAAGCACACAATCAAAGTAGCTAAACGTTTTAGACCACGAACGTTGCGCAATAAGCTAATGTTTGCTAGCATGAGCATTAGCAGTCCAAGCCATAACAGAGAACTGTCAGAGGGTTTTGAGCAGCCTGTTGTCCCACCTGAAGGATTACGGAGCGGATCAGAGCGTTGACAGGCCCGGTGAAGGATTCGGTGACCCCGGCTCCCTGAAAACACCACAACACTATCCCCCCTTTGCTGAAGATGGTGAAGAAATCTAGCATCTTGCCACCTTGTGTCTGGATCAAAGAAACATATACGGACAAAAAGGGTTAAACAGAAGCTCAGCGATAAATGAGTTGTTAAATGAGTCTTTACAAGGGCCGGTGTTTAATTGTCAAACAATTACTTCTTACCAGATATCTATACGATAGATAATAAATCCCCCACGAGTAAAATCCACCACCAGAGCAAAACTGTTTTAGACACGTCAGATGCAGCACTAGGAAGTGACGCGCACTTCCGGTGACGTTTCGCCATCGAAGAACACGCATGCGCAGTTTTTTTGCAAATCGTTCGACGAGGAGGGAGGTTATACATTTCCCTCTCATTAAGAACATCATAACAGTGCACTAAGAACATTTCAAAAGAAACACATTTAATTAATCATTTTACTTTAAATACACATGTGATTACTTGTATTTTCCTTCAGGTAAGTATTGTTATTTTGTTGTTGTTTTTGCACTATTTATCTTATAGCTGAATAAAATGGTTTCCCTCTCTTTAGCCCTGTGTGACCCAATCAAGATTGGGTCACACAGGGCTAAATAGCACATTATTCATAATGAAAAAACAGACATCAGGATAATGTGAATATTGTGGCAATGACGAAACAGTTGAGCACATGTTGTTGCTATGTCCAAGATACCAAGACCGTTTATCACTAAAGAAAGCACTGAACAAAAACCATACAGAATTACATATAATAGAGATGTTGTAAAGGGTTTCAGCGGATGTGATATACAGGACAGTGTTTAGGTTTTTTTTTTAAAACAAGAATTATATTAAGGATTTAGGGTTATAGGCCTACCCTTTATTTATACACATTCTATGGTTATACCGGTTACACTGTGCTGACCCACACTCCATTCCAAAAGGTGGCGGTAAATGCAACTTAAAGCTGTTTTTAAATAACAGAAGAAGGAGTAAAACAAACTCAAACCAGTTCACTAAGTTAACAACAAAAACACATTTAATGTATCATTTCACTTTAAATACACATTTCCTACAGTATTGCTATTTGCTGCTACTTTCTCCTATATTTCAGATGGAATTGTTGTTTATTTTGCCCTAATTTATCTAGCTTATCGAGATTTATTGAAAATACAAAATATATGATCAGATGTGTACATTAAACTAAACCACACTAATCCATGTAATCCAAGTAGGCCTAGATTAATGAATTTAGTTTTAATAGGCTACACGTTATAGTGTACAAACAGAGTTAATTTTGTCTGCATTGAGTAGTCTACTTTTGATTTCAAAATCACACTTTTTGAATATCACTTACCTTTATTCAACAACCAACATTTCAAGGCAGGACTCCTAATTTGTAGGTAATACTCTAACAGTATACATTGATACTGTCACTAAAAACAGGAATACATTCCCCAGTTTTTTCTCGTCTCTGGGAACAGGGACATTTATTTTGTCTTCTCTTTTATTTGCATGTTGAAATGCTACTGCGGTTTTGATTGAACCAGTTCCTTACACATGGCAGGTTAGAGGACAGCCTTTTAACTGAAAGTGAGAAGTGGTTGCTGATGGTGTGCCAGGGGGTACTATTGCAAAGGGTGTTTTTTGTAAATCTAATATTATGCCAGCTTGCTTCATACTTCCTTCATTGACATCATTGCCTCGATTGTATCTAATCGTATACACAAACAAATGTAACCTCAGCAAATGTTCAGCTGTGTGCATGGTGATTGTTTGGTAAATGTCAATGTTCTTGTACATACACATGTCTTTTTTTTGTATCTTTTTCTACAAAACAGAAAGTATTAGGTCAAGATTATAAAATACATAAAATATGTAAATGTAAATAAAACCACAGACACACACTAGACACACACACCCAAACACATACATTGTGGGAGGAAAAGGGATTTGACATTAGCTTCCGTAATTTTAAGTTGTGGATTACAACGGTTGATGCTGTCCTTCCTCTTAATTCGTGTTAATTGTAATAGAATAATAGTATATTAACATTCACATCACAAACTAGTGTTAATCTAGCTAAGGAAATGTTATTTTTCTAGAAAATCTGCTATATTGAATTGCTTGCTTTTAAAGAGTTAACTACGTGCTTAATGGAGTACATGTTTAGCACACTTTGCATTTGCAATTTGAGTCAACATGCTGAGGGTTTTCTTTCAGCAGTAACCAACTTCCTCTTTTCTTTTGGTGATGTCAGTGACACTCGGCAGCCAGGTTTCTCTCACTTTGTTACTTTCTGTTGCTGTTATTTGATAATTTCACATTGTTGGTACAGTTATTAGTTTGTTTATCCTCTCTGAGTAACGCGTGTATGGGTCAGTGGAAATCTTTTTAAGTAATGACATCTTTAAACTATTTTTTACTGCACGGATTTTGTGGAGGTATTGAGCATACAGGATGTAGTTAACAACATGCATGGTAAGTTAAGTCATTTATTTCTCATGCAAACGTTATCTTTATCAGTGTAAATACTGTTAAATCTGTAACTTTCTTATGGGTCATTCCAGGATTGGAGGACAATTTAGACATCTTATTTAACAACATTGCTTTGACCATTACAGGAGACACATCTCCACAAAATAATAGCAAAATAAGTAAATGAAAAGCCTATTTTAAATGTTATTTTTTTAATATATCTAAATGCCATTTTAGGGGGTGCTTGGTAGCTATTAGATATTTTAAACAATATTTTGAAACCACCTATTCTACAACTTTATTTACATTATGTCTAAGGACAAGTATATTTAACACAACAAGTGCATGTTTTAGCATTTTGGGCATGGATTATTTGAAATGTCATAGGTGGGAAAGAAAATGTCCTAAATGATCCACATAACTTTTAATTGTAATTGTTATCAGACTTTATGGTTTTTAAGTGGACTAGGAAGAACTCATAGAAATCAACATGTTTTTATTTCTCGTTTAAGGATGGATCCAGAAAATCTTTAAATCAAGAGTAACTTCATCAGCACAACGTGAACAAGAGGCACATGTGCCAAAAAAGTCAGTGTGTTCTGTCAGCCGTGAATCCTCTTCATCTATATCCCCATGCTGTTCTCTGCCATCATCATCACTGGGGACAGCCCCTTCAAAACCTCAGCAGCCACATTCTGCTTCGAGTTCACGACGATGGAGTCGAGACTATGACGTGTTTGTGTGCAACAGCTCTTTGCAAAGTGACATTGAGGAGGCTTTCCGCCTGGTCTCTTTCCTGGAGGCTTCTCCCCGCAGTCTAAGGTGCTTTCTTATGCAGAGAGACGCCTGTCCAGGAGGTGCCATTGCCACAGAGTTTTGCCAGGCGGTGCAGAACAGCCACCTAAGGGCTCTTCTTATCACTCCAGACTTCTTGCAGGATGGATGGTGCAAGTATATCATGCATCAGGCTCTAGCTGAGGAGCCTATGTCTAATCGGATCATCCCCCTGCTTCAGAACCTGTCTCGCTCTCAGTGTCCTCCGGAAGTGAGGTTCTACTACCAAATTGACCTGAGCAGTAACCCTGAACGAGGTTATACCCTCGTCAACAAGAGTGTGCTCAATTGTAAGTAATGTACAACACAACCAACAACTTATCTTTGGGCCAGTAACACAAGGATACATTGAGCCTGGTCTTTGCTCAAAGTTTAACCTCATATCTGTTGAATGTTGTTTTCAACCAACTGTTTCCTCTTGTGAAATATGTGGTTCTGCAAAACTCCCCCAGCTATTTATTTCATATATGTGGGACGTCAAGTCAGAATCAGAAAGCCTTTATTCGTCCCAAAGCGGGGAAGTTTACGTGGTCACATCAGCAATGTACAGATAAAAGGCCAAAGGAAAAAGAGTACTTATAAAATAAAAAAGACATGTTATAAGAAAAAAAGATTTTAAAAGCAAGTTAAAATATAAAAGTATTGAAAAGGCTGGTAATGGAAGCAGATTATACAAATACATACACAAATAAAGCCTACATTTCACATAAGTATTGAACATTAGATGTGGTACTGCATAACCGTTTTTATGTTTACAAAAGTGTTCAAAAGTCAGAAGTACAGAAGTCCTCTAATAATCTCATCCTTTTTGTCTTATACAGACCTGGAAAAACTGGATAAAAATCAGAAGACACTGGATTACAGCACGGACAGCTCTAGCATTGGTGCAATAAGCAGCCCCAAAGAAAGGGAAGCTGATACTCAAGTATACGACCCTGCTGGGATGCCAACTGAGAATGATGTAGAAGAAAGATGATTGCTAAAAAGACGATTTATTAAGTTATAAATAATGGTCACCTAACTAAGGTGCATTGCTCTCAAAGGACAACATCAATCAATCAATCAATCAATCAATCAATCAATGTTTATTTATATAGCTCAATATCACAAATGTTACATTTGTCCCAGTGGTCTTCACAGTGTGTACAGAATATCAGTATGACAATACGACACCCTCTGTCCTTAGACCCTCACATCGTACAAGGAAAAACTTCTGGAGAAAAACCACAGTTTAAAGGGAAAAATGGGAGAAACCTCAGGGAGAGCAACAGAGGAGGGATCCCTCTCCCAGGACGGACAGACGTGCAATAGATGCCATGTTGCATAGACACCAGCTACTACACAACACTACTGTCAACCTCAGTGACCCTAATAGCACATCATTTTGGGACTTAAAAGAAAGTTGGCCTCATTCTTTTGCTCGTATTTTTTGTGCATAATGGGTGTGTGTGTGATACGGATGTGCATACAATGAACAGGAAACGGTTGGTTCCAAGCAGCACTGGGGCGTATTTCCTGTATCAAATCTAAAGAAGTTCTCCCTGGCTTAACATGTGTGCAATAAATGTGGTTGATAAGATACATACCGTCGGCATTTGCGTTCACAGTCTCAGCTTGTTACACATAATCAAATCTATATTCAAATAAACAAAATAGGGCACTAAAGCACCATAAATGCACGAGATGTTCCTTTTAAGAGCCAAATATGACAGACTAAAGTTACGGTGTTCAAAAGGAATGTACATATAGTGGCTACCACTAGATGGTGTATTTTCTTTCTTCCACCCAATCAAGTGCAGGTCCGAGTATGCCAGTCATGAAGGTGTGATCTTTCTGGTACAAATTTCAAGCCTTTTCTTTAATCCAAAATGAGAAATATTATGTTGCATGTGTTTGGTTGTAAGTGTGAGAGTGAGAGGGAAAGACCCAGCCACAACAAAATGCCAGTGGCTTGACCTTTTCATTGAACTGGGACTTTAAGAAATACCAGAGAGAATAAACCTCTACTGTCTATGAACACAGTAAGAGTTCACATCATGTATGGCTCTGGTGTTAATATTCTAAGTAACAGTATTTCTGACTGTGCTCATCTAGTTAAAACAAAGTCTGAATATGTCGAAGAGTTGGAAGGAAAACGCTTTAATTTCTTCATCCAAAACTAAAACTCTTGGTGATTGAATGTCCTTGGCAGCACCTGCCTTTTCAATCATAAATCAAGCATATTGGCATGGCTTCATTTCAGGTGGTTGGCATTTGAACCACTTAATGTAGAATATCAGCTATTCAGTGCGTCTATTTGAGCTTTTTGATCCTTGATCTTTTCTTTTTTGACTCACACACATGCTCACGCACCGCCAACAGTGGGCTAAAGCCTTGAGCTATCTACAGAAATGCATCCGTAAGCTATGGGAGTGAACATGAGGGGAGCATCAGGACTTGGATAGCAACATTTGGGTTGACACTATTAGGTACCTTTCATATCAAACCCTACAGAGAGAAAAGGAAATATTGTTAGGACAGAAGCCTTGCGGATAAAAAGAAAGTAGCTAGGACGAATAATACACAACCAAAGAGACACAATACATATTGTTGAGGCCCAAATGCAGGATTCTGAGAAGATGAAAGTACACTGCATGGCTGGCTTAAATGTGTAAGAAAGGGATAAAGTTGTCGGAATAGTCGGATAAATGGGAATAGGATTAATTAGCATATATATCAATGAAAAGTTGAATAGTTACCATAATGTTTAAACATTTTATACAACTCCTAATGATTGAAAAAGATGAAAAAGGAAAAGTTTGAATGGTGTATGAATCAGAAGACAAAAGTTGAAAATGCAAGAAAAAGCAGCTGAAGCAGTTTTAATAATTCGAAAAGTGTTAAAAAGATGAAAATGGCTAAATATAGAATGTTAGATCAAAGTATATAACCGAGAATAGAAAAGGCTAAAAACATCCATTGGGTTTTATGTGAGTCAAATTGCACTAATTAGCTAATCACTATGTGAAACAGTATTTGTGGCACCTTTCAAAACTACCTCATGTTAAAAACTGAAAGAGATCTTGAAAACAATAGCAGGACTCAATTATGCTCAATTTTCCGGCGAGATTTGTAAAGCCAAAAGCCAAAGTCACACGGGTAGCCGGCACACTTTTTCCTACCTCTCTTTCCTAAAATGATGTATGACATAATGTGAGAACTTTGGGATCAGCAGGTTTAAACTAATATTTTTCAGAAGGTTTGAAACCTCTTCTCTACTCTGGCAGTGAGGTCATATGTAGCTCTGAACATCCAGTCCTACACGCCCATAATAAAAATCTGAAATGCTTGGAATATTTCCTGAAATATAAACTGTAATAGTTAAAAAACTGTAATATCAAAAAGCTGAATACAATGTCAATACATAAATGTTGTAAAAGTTTAAAGTTAGAATTAGGTATCTAGCTTAGGAGTTGCATTTTTGGGGGATTTTTCCCATTAAGTTACATTGAAGAAAAGCTTGATTTTCAAAATCCATAAAAGTAATGTAGTTTATTGACAATATACTTGCTTTTTTAATCAATTTGTGTATGTCTTCTGGGCGACTGGCAGGTGTATAGGCTTGTGTTGCATTCAAATATGTTGCAAGTATTTTCTTTACAAATTCACCTTAAACCCACTTTGAATGACATTTAACCTGTGACTGATCAAAGCCAAACTAGGACAAAGTTTCCCTATTATTGTGGGACACCTGGAACACATCCTTCTCGAGGTGTAGATGACCCCGAGCCATAAGCGAAAACAACTGTGATTCAGTGTCCTCAACTGTTTAGTCTATCTATTGAAGAATGTTGATTATTACACTCTGAACTATTAAACCTTGAGCTACAGGAGGGCGCTTCAGAATTGATGGTGGCATCTCAACCGTGTGGTCAAACCATGGCCTGTGACTTGTCTTGTGAATTCTCCGGCTGAAGCTCCAAATAAATCGTCAGTGTTTGCCATCAAAGCTCCTGCTCTCCTCGTGTCTCTCTGAGTCCTGACTCCTATTGCTTCAGAGGTTTACCCCACAATACCCACATGGACTTTTGATCTGAGGTCTAAGTCTAAAACCATATCACCTTCCGAAAGCCTGTCAACAGTCATGCTATGTGTCAGCATCCCGGCACTTTTAGCATGAAGCAAAAAATAAAAGGGAGGAACCATTTCAAAAACCTCAGGATGGCAAGATGATGTGCTTTGGACCACCAACAGTATGGAAAAGCTCTCAGCTCTCAGTCACGGTGGTCTCTGATGGGCGCGGTAGTTCTGACCTGGATATTTCTTTTTATCTGTGGTGAGAAAATTCAACTTGCCGTGCTATGGGAAAGCACCAGCTGGGTTAATTAAAGGAAAGCAGGAGATCCAAACATTTCATCTGGTTAGTGAATGTAGGCCATGCATGCAATGAGACACCAGAAGGCTGCAAGTCAAATACAACAGCACAAAAGTTGTAATCACATTATAAAAGAAGATTTCTGAATAATGAATAACTGAATAATGATAACTGAATAATGAAATGATGCGGGCTTGTGAAGGACTGATGCATGCAGGCTCACTCAGATTATTTACACAATGCCGACATTGTCCCGGCAAACATTTGCTAAACAATCTTTTGGTTTACTTTTGTGCAAAACTATTTGTTTGCCAGCTGATACATTAGAGGAGAGAGCGTTCATTTACAAACTAATTAAATAGTTGTCAAAGAAAACATAATCAGTGTTAAAAAAGGAATGCATTTTCTTTGCTTTATAATGACCTGAAAAAGAAACAGCCTTCTTCATTAAATTATTTCGTATTATATGATACATGGACTAATAAAAAGATCCATGGTTATTGTTAACACATTTCTAGTAAAGGTATCATCTATATAAGTCTGATAAAAGCTCACTGAATTTCTCCTTGAGTTTCAGTTTGTTATCTCCTGCATTTACAGAGATATACAAAATGACAGCCAACAAAAACAATCCTCTCCAGATGTCGGTGCCTCTGGGAGAAGTGTACGATCGAGAAGAGATAAAGAAGCAAACTATCAGAAGATCACTGACATATAAAAAAGTTAATTAACCTCGGCATTTTGGTTCCAGACCCACAGGCAGTGCATTTCTGCAGCCAAGGTATTTGGATGTGTCTGGATCTGCCTGGATCAATCATTAGAGAGAAACTTTGGTTCTTACCACACATTACTGCTTACCTGTGGGTGCCAACACAAACACATGCATATTTCTTATTTTATCAACCAGTTTTACATTTAAAAGTGCCGGACAAATGCTAAAGGCCCACTCTGATCACACCATCAACTACCTCACTAGAATTGATTCTGAATGTATAGGTTCTTAGGAATGCAAAAGGGGCTTGAAGATGCTGAGAAGTCATAGTGCTACTAACTTCTCCCTTCAGGCACACATTTATTGAATAGAGACAAAACACTGCATCAGTTGAGGATAAAGCATGCAAACAAGGAGCAACGTGTGAGAGGACATCTACTGCTCAACTGGCTAGGGAACATTTGGTTAAACAAAGCATCAACATTTGTGTTTAAAGTTCACTTTTACTCAACATGAGCAGCAGCGATCTATAAAGGAATGATCAAAATCAATTCCAAGTTAAAATTTAACAGAGGTGCCAGAAAACAATGTCAATAAAAGCTTAATTCAATTGTTTTCAAACACAGGATGGTATATTGAATTTAATCTTGTGACCAGTAGTGGAAATTAATTTTCTAAAGTATAACATGTGCTGTAGTTAATTCCATTTCTATTTTTCACCCTAATTATTTGACAACTATAGTTAGCCAGGCACCTAATTTGCAGATTCAGATTGTAAATAAAACGAATTAATGATGATGATGAATACTGTGTTCAAAACATAAAGGACTTATACAATAATTAAGTACTAGTCACTCTGCTATCTGTTTAATGTAAAGGTTTAACTAAACACAGGCAACAACAACGTGTTTCCAGATGTTGTTCCCTCAGGTAATTAAGTCCAGTTTAAATCGGTTTGATGAGGCTTGATGGGGACAATAGTCAAAACATACCGGGTATCACATCGAATGTGACATCTGTGTTTCTTCATATCCAACGCCAGTACAGTCAGGTTGCAGCTTGTACATTTGTTCAGGGAATGGCATTTGGATCTGCTCCACAGTGCGCGTACCCACATGCGCATGCGTCCATGCTTTGAGAGAAAAGGGAACGCGCTGTAACAGAGAGAGAAAGCAAACCGTTATATGTGCCTGCGGAGTTCATGCTACTCAGATCTACTGAAAACCACGCCATGGTTCCTCTAAATGGTGTCGAGGGATGAACTTTGATTTCCACATCCTGTCACAATCTCTACCCGGGTTTGTGTGCGCGCTGCGAGCTGGTGTATATCTATCGATTTCCCACGCAGCGTGTCACCAAACGCAACGTGAACTTGGTCCTAAATCATTGTACAGTACAACAGGCTCGCTCCACGGATTAACGCTCATCTGTCGGGCAGCGCTGCTGGTAAGTAAGACCCTTTCGAGCTAACGTGTGTTAGGAGTTTTTCTACATGCCTGTTGGGGGAGTCATGGGAC